TCTTGTCCGGGTCTTTATGCACGTCATGAGGCCGGATCTTTTAAGCCAGAGGAAGATAAACATTACTGTCTGTAGAATTGATGTCCGGAAGTCACGCCCAGACCAGTTTCCTCAATTTGCGTTGCCAGGCAAGCGTTTGATTTTGGTCTCGAATGGTCTGCTTGTACTCGTGCAAGCGGATCTGAAATTGCCGTCCAAGTTTCCCCACCAGTGCCCAAACGGAGATTATTAACTGAGCTAGAATCCGGTAATTAGAAAGCCAAAACATTTGTCAACCTGAATGAGAGTAATCTTTCCAACCAGGTTTTGGGCAACCCTGGATTAACAAACCTAGCCGTTTATTTAGCCTGGACAATGAGCTAACTTATCATGAACGGGGAACGGTCTTAAGAAGACAATATATTAAAATTTAAACCACATTCCTGTTTTTTTCTTTCTTTACCAATTTTCACCATTCCACAACATATACCGATTAACATCTTATGGATACTTGCGTACCTTAAGGATGTTCTACATCACACTTAGTATGCTCCTAGCAAAGAGGTAACGCAATCAAAAATGCTGCCAACTAACGTTCCGCTGCATGAGAAGAAAGACGGGTTCAAGACGAACAATGAGGCTTTTGCCACAATTTCGAACTTGTTGAAAGCCTTGAGTTCTTTTTTGTTTTAGTGAATAGGTACCAAAGCGTCTTTGGTGTGCTAAATCACTGCCGTACAGAACAAGGCCAACGTCTCCTCACTCAATGGCTTCGTCAGCCTCTCACGGATATTGCTGAGATAAGTAAGTGATAGTTTTATTTTTAGAATTGATGCTGAAGTCCACTTTCCAGGTGTTCTCACGAGTAAATGAGAAGACTAGCCGGGCACCGGAGCAGATAGTTTATCATTCTGACGTTCAAACTCGTGCGGGAGTTCCTCGCAGCAGCGGCAGCAGCAGCAGCAGCAGCAGCCGAACGGCTACAGCTAATCAGTCAATTATCAATAAAATTAGTCTCAAGGTGACTGCCCAGGGCTCTGTATACCAGCGCAAAATCGATAGTCGATTGTTTGAATTCCCATCCGTGGACCAGGCTTCAATAAATTCTCGGTTCGTCTTGTTTCAGGCGTGGACGATTATCTCGAAGATTGCGAAATTTAACTCCTGGCCTGTTTTGTAGGTGTGGACAGCAACTTGCGACGATGCCCACCCATTTTGCGTCCTTTGTGCGCAAAAACTCCCTGTATGCTTCGAGTTCCAGATCAGTTCTATAACACTATTAAAGAGGATGGAGTGACTTTTACCAGAATTCCATTTAGTTTTTCTAATTTTCCACCGTTTTTTCCCAGACATCTGACTCGCCACATTCACTCTTACGTCTTACTATTAACATATGACGATTATGCGATAAACCTAAAACAACTTGCGATCACCGGAATCATACTTTTACTTGTCTGAGCTTTCGGGCTCTTTCTTTCTACCTCTCTACCTACACACGTACCTGGGATGCATTTGCCTCAGTTCGTGCTAAAACAACTTATTCATTCTGTGGTGGTTGGACTATCCAGGTGGAATTAAGTATTTTGATTACACGCATTTTTTCGTAGAGCGTGTGAGGTGCGCGCGTGTCCAAACTTTAGTCGTCCGGACAACGTCTTGCTCTCTCGCCTTCTATTTGCGACCTTCTGTGATGCTAACTTGTTTTTTTTTAAAAATAATGTTTTAACTCTCACCTACGCACTGCATTCATTGACGTATGTTCGTTAATTTAAAATGCCTTCTTTTTAGACGAGCGTCTGGACTTAGTCGAAGCCTTCTTGGAGGATAATAGTTTGCGTCAGAGTTTTCACGGGACTGTTCTTCGTCGAATCCCCGATATCCCCCGGCTAGCCCGACGTCTGCGACTGTCCAAGGGCAGGCTACAGGTAATGTCTCACGTTAATCGATCATTTTCTATACCCTGCTGTTAACTGTCATCTGGGCGTTCGCCTGCGCATATGACAAGGTCACTTTTACTTCATTTTTTTTTAAAGTAACATCTGACTGTATGTGCTCCTTTACACGTTGCCTCCTAATAGCTACTCTGAACTTACGTCTTAGTGCACCTTTTTAGGCAAAATGCACAATGCATTAAAGCATTTTTTCCCCGGTAATAATTTGAAGCAAGACAGAATAGCAGAAT